TTCCAAGGTCACACAGAGGCATTGGTTCCTTTAGGAGCGAGGCTGAAGGTATACGGTTTGGGTTCCCTTTGCCTTTTCAGTCCTGGTGAGGGCACCTTGTAACCATTCCTAAGCCTCCCCTGTCCCAGGGCATATGACCGACTCATCTCGGACTGATCTCTGACAGACTGCCAGCTTCCCAAGTTACACAGCATGCTTCTTAGTCACAGCTGAAATGTGTGACATGGTTGTGTGTATTTGACAGCAGCTGCTGCGTGGCTGGCCCCTGAGAGCTAGCCCTTCAAAATAACTTCCCTTGGAACAGTTTGGGATGGGACGAGGGCTCAGTGGCTGACATAGGTCTTGGCTTCGTTAGGGATCAATGAGCAGACCACTGCGCCGCGCAGGGAGATACGTATAAGGTGTGGTGTAGGAAGCTGACTTTTGCCAGGTGAGACCATTGCTTCCCCCCCCCCCAACCAGCTGGCCCTCTTTGGGTTTTCAAGCAGAGTTTCTCCTCCCCAGCTTGAACCTGAAACCTTTGCTAGATAACCAGATTTAATCGCTCCACAGGATCAACTGAAGAGAGATCAGGGCTGGCAATGTGGTGCAAGCACTTTCTGTTCACCACAGTCCTGCGAGGCAGGCCGTTTTCATCCTCCTGCGACTGAGCGTTGAGAGCTTGTATAGGGTGGCTACTCAGAGTGTGAGCTGGTGGCTGGCCAGCTCCGGTTCAAGGATAATGTCAGCTGTTAACTCATCTTAACTTAGGTCATTCCTTGTAAATCAGCTTCCCCCCCCCAATAGGCAGGGGGCAGAGAATAAGACGGACCCGCCTCTTGGGATGGTTGTCAGGCATGTGGTGGTGGAAAAGAGCTTGGAAAAAGGATCCTTTTTTCAGATGACAGTTTCCAAAATCCCCCAGCCTGGCATGGGAACTGTAGTCCTTCCAAAATGTTTTCCCATCGCCGCCTGTGCTGGCAGAGGTTGTGATGCTCTGTGTCAAAATCAATCTTGTAGTTTTAGAGAAGATGCCGCACCTTTTGTTGTGTGTGCAGCTTGGAAAAGTTACTTTCTGGGAGCAGATCTCCCTGCAGGCCCCAGCCATTCTGGTGGCAGAGGACACTGTAGCGCCCGTTTGAGTAATCGATATGTGAAAAGCACAAGCGTTTGTCAGGATCCCTGGGGAGACACAAAGGTCTGGTGTTCCTGGCTGTATAGTTACATGTAAATAGTGATCTTTGCCACCTTGGGGGGGGGGTCTAGTGTTCGTGGCTGTGTATTTATATGTAAATAGTGATCTTTGCCACCTTGGATGGGAGGTCTGAGACTGGCCATTTTTCCCCAGCCGATTTTTCTTGCAAAATGTGTCTTCTTGGGAGATGTGGGATAACAGCTTCTTCTCACCCGGAGCCCCCCCAGGGGTCAAGATTCAAGGTTGTTGTCCCCCCCCCCCAGAGTAAAGCTCCCGGAGAAGGGGCCTCTCTCTTTAGAAAACTCGGAAAAGGGTTGCCATGAGTCAGAATGGACTTGAAGGCACAAAATGACGATGATTAAAGTTGGCCAAAGATATAGTTCCTTGCCCCAAGGAACTTACAATCAGAATTGAGGTACCGAGAGCAGGAAACACGACAGCAGGACAATACAGAGAAAGGCTGGTGTCACAAAACTCAGCGAAAGGAAAGGAAGCTTAAGGAGTGAATACGTTGCGTGTGTTACGCCATGCTCAAAGCTGCCAAATTCAGCAGCCTGAATAAAGAATACAAAGACTAACCAAGTTTGTCCACACCTTTAGCCCTTCCTTGTTGTTTATTTGTGTTGGCTTTGGCTTCTGCCTTCGGCTGTGCAGAAGGCTAAGGGCCCACTCCACCCACCCGAGCAAACCCTCCTGCTCTTTCCTCCCAGCTTCTGAACCTCACCAGCTGGGAAAGGCATCATTTATTTATTTATTTATTTAAAATAGCTTTACCCCGCCTTTCTCCTTAAAAGGATCCAAGGCATGCTGAGAAACCCTCTTTGTAGCCATGAGGGCTGGTAACTTGAAAACCAATGACAAGGAAGCGTCTCTCCCACCCCCCATGCACACACACTCACCAGGGTGGTGGAATGAGGGGCTGTCTCCCCCACAGGTTTCTCTGGGGATCTCAAAGAGGGGCATGAGAAGGAAAGGGAAGGATGGACAGGGGCTGTGTATTTCTTTGGCTGAGAAACCCTCTTTGTAGCCATGAGGGCTGGTAACTTGAAAACCAATGACAAGGAAGCGTCTCTCCCACCCCCCATGCACACACACTCACCAGGGTGGTGGAATGAGGGGCTGTCTCCCCCACAGGTTTCTCTGGGGATCTCAAAGAGGGGCATGAGAAGGAAAGGGAAGGATGGACAGGGGCTGTGTATTTCTTTGGGAACCGAGGGGGGCAGGAAACAGCAAGCGGCTGCAATTAAAACGCGGGCAGGTGGTTGGGCAAATGCTTGTAAGTAGAAAGCTAGTGAGCACCCTGCCCTCCGTGCAGATTCCATGCCTTTTCCAGCACCAAAGACTTTTTCCAGGTTGGACCACATGGACACATAGAGAGACTTCTTGGAAGGGCTTGTAAAACGTCCTTTGCTTTATGACAAAAATCCGCCACGAGGGAGAGGCCATCTGGGCCTTCTAGAGTTTGGGGTGGGCTCTCCGAATTTGCTCCTGCTGCCCCCCCCGCGACATGGGCCAAATAGCGCCCTTGCCCCCTCCCTCTCTGTCAGGAAGGAAGTGTCGTTCACTTTGCAGAGAGGGATGGATCCGAGCCAGGGGTTGGGGTGGGTGGGGAGGTGGCAGCTGGCTGGGCTTTTAAAACGTTTTTGGTGTTTTGCCCTACATTGGTCAACAAGAATTGTTCGCCCTCTTTGAACCCTTGTTGCCGGTGGCGGCAGCATTTTTCTGCTTCCCGCACGCAGGCCTCATTCTCCTTAATCGACTCCTACTAGAACGCTAGGGTGAGAGGTTTGCACCGCGCATTGTTATGGCTGGCCCCTGGAGGGAGGGCCCAAACCAGGGCACCGTGTTTTCCCCTCAGGCTGAGGGGACGGAATGCACGGCGCACTTCCTCTGCTCCTCCGAGTGTGGGAATTTCTCCTTTGGTTTCGGACGATTAAGGGTAGCGTTCGGCGCCAGATGACAGCTGGTGCAACAGTCCACAACAAGCGAATTTTAGCACCCTCGGAGGGCTGAGCTTTTGCCCTCGGGCACCTGAGATGGGCGGCTAGGAAGCTGGGAAGCCCTCGTCCCCTGAGACAAACCTTCAGCCCCTCTGGAATCATACTGCCGTAGAATAAATTGAGTTGGAAAGGGGCCCTCAAAGGCCATCAAGTCCAACCGCCGTAGAATAAATTGAGTTGGAAAGGGTCCCTCAAAGGCCATCGAGTCCAACCCCCCCTTGCTGGAGGCAGGAATCCAAAGCAGATCGGACCGGTGGCAGTCCGATTTCCTCTTGAAGGCCCCTTGCTGAAGGCATGAATCCAAAGCACATCAGAACGGTGGCAGTCCGATTTCCTCTTGAAGGCCTCTAGCATTGGCGCGCTCACCACCTCCCCCCTTAAGGTCATGGGTTCTGTTATCATACCGCTCTAACAGTTAAGAAACTTTTCGCCTGAGATTCAGCCTAAATCGGGGTTCCTGTCACTTGAGCCCATTCTTATGTGTTCTGCACTCTGGGATGATGGAGAACAGATCCTCTCTCTCCCCAACACCCCCACCCCCCCGTAGGATTGTCTTTCAGATATTTGGAAAGCCTAGGATTGTCAGCTCTGACTGGCAGAGTCAGATGCCACCCCCCGTAGGATTGTCTTTCAGATATTTGGAAAGCCTAGCATTGTCAGCTCTGACTGGCAGAGTCAGATGGTGGGAGTTTGAACCCGGCACCTTCTTTGCATAAATCAGATGCCCTCCCTCTCTTGGTGTCTCGATGGTGACTCTTTCAACGGATGGCCCACCCAAACTTTGGGCATTATTTTGTTACTGTGGAAGGTGGCTAGGAACGTTGATTTAGGCTACTCTAATTGGCAGCTGTTAATAGACGCCAAGATAGACCTCCCCATTGGTCCAGTGGCACCATCCACCTTCTGGTAAGGGACACTGATTACCTTGGGAGCAATTGTGATGGACAGACTGGAGCTCAGTCTGGGGCCATGCATGGAAGCTGAGCCGTGGGACAAATGCAGGACAGGTAAAGAGAAGTTACTTGGGCTACAGAGTTCTGGATTTCTGGTTCAGTTCCTCTAGCTGCACAGCAGAAGGGCAGGGACTCACAAGAGCAGAATAGCTTCAAGTTCCACAGAGTAGCCCCCTCTTTTAGCTGGCACTGACAGTCTCAATAATTCACTCCGAGACATTAGTAGAATAAAAGTTTTCGTTCCTTAGAACTGAGCAGATCAAAGACCAAACTGACAAACATGAGCAAAAGACCTCAACAGACTCAGGAGAGGGAAATGAAAC